ACATTCTTTTGAACAGTGGCTGCTTTGTTTCCCCGATGTATAACTGGTTGCAGTCCTCCTGGCACTTAACAGCATATACAGTTTCTGTAGACACCAAACATGTCTGTTTAACTAAAATAAATTAGAGTAATTAAAGTAGAAAACCAGGGGTTTGGGTTTAAGAGATGAATGAACCAATTGGCGGGCCGAACATGGTCACTCGCGGGCCGAATATGGCCCACGGGCCACATAGCCCTGGTATAGAGCTTATATTTTACTGTTAATGTACAGAGCTCATAAAGGTGTATTACCTTCCAACGTTCAGGTAAATTTAGTTAAAAGACAGAGCGGTTATTATATTAAAGAAACAGAAATGTTTGTGAAACCCTGGTTTGGTACGAGCCTGAAGGACTGATCCACTTTAATCCAGGGATTAAGATTATGGAACAGCCTGGAAGATGAGGTTAAAAATGACAGATATTTGTATTTATTGAAGAGAATGATAAAAACTAGTATTCTGAAGAAATATGGAGAATTATAAGTGATTTCATGCTAACTGTTGTTTGACTTGGTGTCTTAAATGTTGTTTTTAGTTTTTTTATTTTTATTTTACTTTTCTTTTGAACATATTTTGGGTATAAAAATGGGCAGATATTATAAGATTTATTCTTCTTCTGCTGACTTTCATTTTATTTGATTTTATTTTGATTGCATGTTTTTTTGTACTTCGTTAATTTGTGTTACAAATGAAATGAATAAAGTGAAACAAACAAACAAACAAACAAATTAGTGATTGACAGGCTTCTGCCAAACTTGATGACATTCTGAGTGGGTAATTAAATTATTTGAATTAGTTGTGTTGAATCAGGGAAAAAGCTCAAACATGCAGAACAAAGAACAAACGTCTGCATTAGATGATTATTATTATTATTATTATTATTATTATTATTATTATTATTATTATAATAATTGAGGAAACGGTTGAGACAAACTGGGGACCAAAGGACCATGTGGCTCTTCTTCCAGCCTCTGCAGCTTTGTGCTGACAGGAACAGTCTCTGCAGCTGCACACGGTTTAAAAACAGAAAAAAAAAAAAAACGCAGCATTGAATTAAAAAGTATTTATTTTACTTTCAAAGCTGAGAAGATAAAGTTTTAATATTTTGTTAATTCATTTGAATTGAACAATTGAAGCTCCCTGGTGAGGTGTTCTGGACACGTCCCACTGGGAGGAGACCCAGAGGAAGACCCAGGACACGCTGGAGACCTGGGAACACCTCCCAGTCCTCCCAGAACAGCTGGGAGGACTGGGAGGTGACTGGGAAAGAGAGGTCTGAGCTTCCCTGCTCAAGCTGCTGCCCCCACGACCTGACTTCAGATAAAGCGGAAGATGATGGAGGGATGGATATTTCAAAATAAAAGTCTGATTTAATTCTGTTAATACAAAAGAAACTTTTGTGTGGAAACTCAAAACAACACTGTGAAGGAATGCAAGTGTTTGTGACGTACTGCAAAGGCATCGCGTGGGAACCAAAAGAAAAAAATCCCCCCATGTTCCCTCGTGGGCTCCGTAGAAAAGAACTGTAATGTTTAACATAAATTAAATCTTAGTTGTTCAGCTTATCATTATTTACAGGAAAGGATGAGATATTACTTGTTTATTAACTGTTTTTTAAATCACATTACAGAACATTAGTGTCCATGTCTTTTTCTTTATGTTTGTAATATAACTGCAACAATATTAATAAATACTTTAGCTTGCTTCACTTATCTTTAATTACCTCATTTAATTAGCTTTTACTCACACACAGTGTTACTAATGTCATATCAAGGCATAACACTTTTGTGTTCCCCCACAAAAGTAGTTTATCACTGTTGTGCTGCTGGTTTATTAACAAACTCACATGTTCACCATTAGTGAGTTAGCCTACTGCTTTAATTCAGCTTCACAATGAATATATCACAGAGCCACACATGGAAGTGTGTCATATGTTGATATTTTAACACAGTGCAGCCACGCAACAACAATGTCAATTTCACAAACTTGTGGCGACACATCCTGTTTTGGTAACTGGATATTTCAAAATAAAAGTCTGATTTCAATCAGTTCATATATATTTTCCACTTGTGAGTAGACTTTCACAGCTAAATGTTGGACTTTAATGTGTTTGAAGATGGCTTTACACTCATTCCAAATCAATAAACACCAACAGTTTCTTCTTTCAGGTAGTTACTGAAGTGATTGCTCCTTGGCATCAGCCCACAGCTGAAAGGTTCAAACTGCCAAAGCTTTTCCTTGTTTAAAAATATTCCAAAATAATGTCAATTTGGATTAAAAAAAGACTTCTTTCTTAAAACCAGTTGCTAAATGAAGCTCATCATTAAAATGCAAATCAGTTTGATTAGAGCAGCAGGTGAAGGAGGGCGTGGCTTGTCGTATTTCCAGTTTAACGCAATAAATATTATTTTTTTCAAGACATCATCTCCAGCTCAAACGTTTGCATTTAGAAGGCCACATTTGTTTTTCTCTTTTGCTGAGAGCTCAACAGGTGGATCAGGAAGGTGTGGTAGGCGGGTTTTGTCTCAACACAGTCCATATAAATAAAAGAGGCGTCACTCCGGGCTCTATCTTCACTTTTAAACAGGTTGTGTGTAACATTTTTTAGGGTTTGCTTTACATGGCAAAAGAAAAAAGAAACAATCAGAGAAGTTTTCTTCTTATGTCTAAACTTGATTTAATATCCAGCTGAGTCGTGCAGAAAGCAAGAACATTTGCCTGATGACTTACTGGTAACAGCGTTTGCACCATCTTACTGATTTCTGCTCCAAGTATTCAAACGAATGTAAAAATCCAACCACATTCCCCTGAAATGTAACAGTTTGCTTCCTGTTTTCCTCCCAGATTCCCTCCCAGGACGAGCCAATGAGCTGTTAGGTATCAGTAGACGTGGTGGACTCTAGCAGGGACCTGAGAGGTCAAAGGGGACGTGGAGCTGGATGTGTGAGAAGGATTCATGGGCCTGAAGGACCATCTGGAGGATGGAACAGGCCACATCCTCAGCGTGGGGCTGGATCTGGACTATCTCCATGTGGATGGTACAGACAGGCAGGCTGGTCCAGGTGTTACCAAAGCGTCTGGAGTCTCACGAGTCCACGGGTGTTCCCAGAGCAGGAGCAGTAAAAGTGTTGGTGGGAGTACCATCAGTCTGAGTACAACTTCAGGCTACAGCAGCAGCTGCAGCAACGTTTCAGAGGAGAGTGCCATCTCTGACACTGAAGATGAGCGACTTCACACTAGATCAGAGTTTGGATGTAAAAACTCAAACCAGGATCAGGTGTCTGCCTCAGACTGCCGACCGCTCAGGCTGGACCTGGCACCAAACCAGTTCCCTGAAGATCCACCTCAGTCCAAAGCCTCCTTTTTGTCAGACCCTGCCTCGGACTGCCGCAGCAAGGTTGAGTTTGCTCTTAAGTTAGGTTACTCTGAGGAGCTGGTGCTGCTGGTTCTGAGGAAACTGGGCCCGGACGCACTTATCAACGACATGCTGGGAGAGTTGGTAAAACTGGGAACCAAGACAGAGATGGATCCACAAAGAAGTCCAACTGTGTCCCAGTCTCCTTCCTCCTCTTTGTGCTGCTCCTCCTCCTCCTCCTCCTCTAACTCGTCCCTGGAATCCTTCCGGCTGATGTGCCCGTCCCCTCTGCTGGAGGACAAAGACAACCTTCGGCCTGTGGTTGTAGATGGAAGCAACGTGGCCATGAGGTGAGAACAAAACACTTATTTACCTGTTTCCTGCAGTAACTAAACTAACGTCAGTAAATGAGCAGGCACCGGACTGTAGGGTTTCTGAGGACACAGCTCTTGTTTCTGGTTGTACACATGTGTCATGGTATGTCACTACGCTAAGCTAGCATTTTTCACTGAAAGTTCAACGTTCAACAAACCAAAGTGATTTTGATCAGTTCTCGTAACAATCAGGGGCAGTTCTAGGGGCGGGGCCACTGGGGAATTGGCCCCCTGAAGCGCCCCTGTCCTGTCCCTCACCTGTCCTTTACCTGGGGGTGATGATGGTGGCTGCAGTTCCATGTTCAAACACTAGAGGTGCTAATGAGTCAAATAGTAAAGTCCAGAATGAATCAAGCTGACAGAATTCTTCTTCTCTTCTTAAAATGTCAACAATCCTGCAAAAAGTCTTTAACTGACAAATGACGGCTGGATTTTCTCACATGTTGTGTGTTTGAAAATATTTTATCTATGTACAATAAAATGTATGAAAAACTGTTGAATTTACTGTGCAAGATTTTTGGTACCACTTTGCAATCAACTCCCTTTAYAGATGACTTATAAAGAGTTTATAGACAGGTTATTAATTCATTTGTAAAGTTTACACTTTATAAATCATTAATAAATGATACTGGACAATTTTGTCTCTTTCTCGTCCTTAATTTTTGCATAAATAACACTTATTAATATTTTTTAAAATGTTTACAGATTAATTAATAACCTATCTATAAACTCTTTAAAAGCCATCGATAAGGGGGGCCTTACTGTAAAGTGGTACCTTTTTTTAAAAAAAAAGTCATTGCATTACAAGTGTTTGAGGTGTAAAATGTAAACACTGGGAATTTGTGTGAAAGGATGATGAACAAAGACTTGGCACCTCTATGAATWTTGTGGCCCCTTGATGGCCCCTGACTCAGAAAAATCCTAGATCCGCCCCTGGTAACAATAGAAACCTAAATTAATACTTCTTTAAATGATTCTGTTTAGAGGACAGAATCAGTTTTATAAAATAATTTAAAAATTATATTTAAATGGATTTTGCATTTAAAAAAAATGATCCAAAAAAGCTGGATAGCCAGTCTTAATTACTGTTTGGTGCAACAACAGTTAGTCTGCCCACCCTCAGGTGCAGAATCTATCAGGAACCACACCAGCTTGGCATCTCTCACCAGAGTTTCATTCGGGTCTAAAACATCCGACCCGGGCTGAGCCCATCGGCGTTGTGTTGGAGCCCGACCCGACAAACAAATTAACTCAAATAAGAGGCTGAACCTGTTTCAAGCCCAACATGTTAGAATAATGAAGCTGTGGTTTTGTAGAGTGAGTTCTCCAGCGTTGAACCAGGTCCATTATGTGGTTTGTTGTGGGTCAGTGCACCGTCCTCTCAGAACAAAGCAAGGCAGAGCAATGAACTGCACTGTTTTCTTTTCACAGTCTTAACCTCTACACTCTATTTTATTTCTTTCCTCATCCAACACAGTAAACTTACTGCCTCCTCCTCTTCTATCTTTTCAAGTAGATGAACACAATTTAACGTTGTGCATTCTCCTTTATTTTTCTTTGTGCTGTGTGATTTGTAAAACTGCACCAGAAGCCCAAACCCAACCTGGCCTGCCCAACGGGCCGGGTTAGGTTCTGGTTCAGGCCAGAAGTCGTGACTCATCTCTCAGGACAACTCCAGAGTGACACTGGCTACGTCTGATCAGGACCTCTCAACCTGTTTCCCCTGCAGAAAAGTGACATGTCATGTCCTCAGACCCAGCTTTGATTGGACAGAGTCCAGGTCCCATCTTCAGCTGCCACCCACAGCACTTTGTACCTGACCCATATGGTCAGTCCTGCAGGTACTGGGCCCACAGGAAGACTGAAGCATGTAGTTAGATCTGACTGAGCCCAGCAGGGCCTCATGGGATGCATGGCTGATAAGCCCCCTACCTAAGGTCTGGCTTTAATGTGGGGCCACAGAAATCCGTATGTGGCTGAGGGACACCAAGCTTCCTGAAGTCTTTAGTCCATTTGACCGAATTACTTTTTTATCCTTTTTTAACAAATGATTCAAATGAGTTCTGAAGAATGGTTTCACTTTGTCATGTGATATTCTCTTTCCACAGTCATGGGAATAAGGAAGTGTTCTCGTGCCAAGGCATCCAGCTGGCTGTTGATTGGTTCCTGGAGCGAGGTCATCGTGACATCACAGTTTTTGTTCCAGCCTGGAGAAAGGAGCAGTCACGACCTGATGCTCCAATCACAGGTACCAGCTAGCAAATCTGTCAGTGAAAACAAATAAAAACTAAATCATGTATCTGCTTTTATCATTTTTCACCAGACAAAAACATCAACTGTCTTCATACTTGTTTTTTAATATTTAGTTTAATCCTCCACTCTTTATTCAGACCAGGAAATTCTGCGACGACTGGAGAGAGAGAAAATCCTGGTTTTCACTCCATCGAGACGCGTTCAGGGTCGCCGTGTGGTTTGTTATGATGACAGGTTCATTGTCAAACTGGCCTACGAGTCAGATGGGATCATTGTATCAAATGACAACTATCGAGATCTGGCCAATGAGAAGCCAGAGTGGAAGAGTTTTATCGATGAACGCCTGCTGATGTACTCCTTTGTAAACGACAAGTAAGAAAAACAACAACAACCTTCATTTTCTGCTGTCCGTTTATTTTTATTCTTAAAATTACAAACTTAAAGCTTTGCTCCACTGAGCTGATCATCATCTAGAGATGTTGTTTGTTTGTTTGTTTGTGTGTTTGTTTGTATGTGTGTGTTTGTTTGTATGTGTGTGTTTGTTTGTATGTGTGTGTTTGTTTGTGTGTGTTTGTTTGTATGTGTGTTTGTTTGTGTGTGTGTGTGTGTTTGTTTGTGTGTGTTTGTTTGTATGTGTGTGTGTGTGTTTGTATGTTTGTTTGTTTGTGTGTGTGTTTGTTTGTTTGTGTGTTTGTTTGTGTGTTTATTTTTGTTTGTGTTTGTTTGTTTGTGTGTTTGTTTGTTTGTGTGTGTTTGTTTGTGTGTTTGTTTGTTTGTGTTTGTTTGTATGTGTGTTTGTTTGTTTGTGTGTTTGTGTGTGTTTGTTTGTATGTGTGTGTGTGTGTGTGTTTGTTTGTATGTTTGTGTGTGTGTGTGCTTGTTTGTTTGTGTGTGTGTTTGTTTGTTTGTGTGTTTGTTTGTGTGTTTATTTTTGTTTGTGTTTGTTTGTTTGTGTGTTTGATTGTATGTGTTTGTGTGTGTTTGTTTGTCTGTCTGTCTGTCTGTCTATCTGTTTGTTTGTGTTTGTTTGTTTTTGTGCTTGTTTTTGTGTGTTTGTTTGTTTGTGTGTTTGTTTTTTAAGACCTCAGTGATAGTGGTAGCAGGAAATTCTTTGGTGTACGTTGATGCCTGTAATTTAAAAATGTTGTCTTGAAAAACAAATAAACAAAAACAGTGCAGACTTCAGATATTATATGTTATTTATATATAACTGGTGTGAAATGAAAAGAAAAAACTTACAGTTGTTTTACATATTGCAACTAATCATTTTTAAATCGTTAAATTAGATTCATGCCTCCAGATGACCCACTCGGACGCCATGGTCCAAGTCTGGAGAATTTCCTGAGGAAAAGACCTGTTGTTCCTGAACCCAGAAAACAACCCTGTCCTTATGGTAATACCTTCACTTTATACCGGGAAGAGTGGCTGCTTATAATTAGAAATGATAAAACTAATACAATATATTTTGTTCTAGTACAATGAAGTATTTTTCTCTCCCTCATAGGGAAGAAGTGCACCTATGGCCACAAGTGTAAGTTTTTCCATCCAGAAAGAGGCAGTCAGCCCCAGCGTTCTGTGGCTGATGAACTCCGAGCCAGTGCCAAACTGTCTTTAGTCTCTTCCAGAGGCTTGTTGGAACATGCTCTGATGGCTAAGAGCCAAAGTACCAGTCAGTCCGAAGAAATGCCAGAAACTGAACCAGGACAGGGCAATAAACTACCAAACCAGAGTCCTCAAAGGTCCCTCCCTGATCTCATGGAGGACAAACTTCAAATCCTTTCCAAAGCAGAAGGCTTTAGAGGAAGCAGCAGCCATCCGACGTCAGGGGTCCCCCTTTTATCAGGGCATCTGGACCGGTGGGAACATCTCCGAGACTGTAATGATGGTGGGTCTAGACTTGAAGAAGCCTCTGGATCAAGCCAGACTGACTCTTACTACAGATGTAGGTCTCCAGAGGTGGTCTATAGCTCTCTGGTAAACCCTTATTCAGGTCTCAGGTCTCAGACCCCAGAACTTCTCCTACCAACTGACCTGTCAGCAGGTCTATCATCGGATTGTAGCAGCAACGACAGTCCAGGCTCAGACTCTTTCTCACCTGACTCAATGTCAGACAATAGTCCCAAGTGCCAGCATAACCATCCTCATAACCATCGTCACTATCCTAATCAGTTTGTCCATGCTAGAAGTCAGGTTTCCTCTGGACCGGGTCAACATCCTCCTCCAGGATATAATGTTACTTCAAGAGTGCAAAGACCATACACACCTTTGGTTACGCCTCATACACCTCCACATCCTCACAAGAACACCCTGTCCTACATCCCCACCCAGCTCCGGCGGTCTTTGTTCAAGAGTTTTCCAGAAGAATTAACCTCTCACTCAGCCCAGACCTATACTGCCCACTCTCATCCAAAGAGCTCCACTTTCAGTTGCAGTTTGATGCCCTTGCAAGAAGGTGATCTTCAGGACTCCAGAGGGTACAATGAGTCACCGTTTTATTCTAAAAGAAACTACTTTGGGCTGAACCAGCAACCTCAGCATCAGGTTCACTGGGACTCTAATTATCCAGCTTCCCCTCAGCCTGGCTATGATCTGTTTTCCTACAAGAGCTTTCCACCTCTTCATGGGAAAGGTTGGCACTCTTCTTGGGGTCAGCAGGTCTACTCATCCCCCTGTGGTCTTTCCTCATCGCTCCAACCACCGTCCCTTCAATCCATCCCTTCCCATAAGAACCACCTGATCTCTGAGCCTCAGTATTTGGAGAATCGTGCTCTGGGTCAGTACCAGGATTTAAGGGACAGGATGTATGTTAACTTATGTGGCATCTTTCCTCCAGATTTGGTGCGGAAGGTCATGACCAAGAACCCTCATGTGATGGATGCCCAGGAACTCGCAGCTGCAATTTTATTGGAAAAACTGCAGCATGTTTCATAAATGCAGAAGATATTTACTGTAAACAAAGCCTTCAGTCAGGTTGGGTATACCAAAAGCAAAAGCACGAGTCAGATGATTCCTTTGGCTTTCGTTGGATTCTGTGTTTTTATTTTAGGGAAGGTGGTATTTTTCCAAATTTGTCATGTTTGTGTAAAATGACCTCTTATTTCAGCACTTAAAATGAGGAAAGGTTTGGGTTGAACCTGTCTGTTGTGAGTCAAATGAAAGTTTAAAGAAGGTTAGAGTGGGTTTAAGAGCTCATTTTGTTATAACAACGCATTATGTCATAATGTAATAAAATCAGGCTTCAAAACATAATAAACCCTCATTAAAACTGCATTATGTAATAATTGACACAAATTTTAATAAAAGTCTTTAATACATTATGTAATAACTTTATTACGTTTTGTGGCAATTGTTAAAAAATGTGTTGGTGTAATAATCTGGTGCATTATGTAATAAACAACCAAAAACCAGTATTTCTGTTCATCCTAATCAATATACTTGTAATAACTGTCATGTTGCAAATACTACATAATTAAATCTTTATAACTTTGGTCAATAAACACAGAACTTCTCATCTTTTATTTGCATTTTCAGTCAAATTCTTGTGTATTTGAATGTATAGAGCGATCTCACTGTTTGTTTTCATGTTTTATGGAATCTTTCAAAAACTTAGTTTCTAATTTATTCAACATGTCAGAGCCTGTAGGAMGTTAAAAACAATTATTAACATCAAATATCCACTTCTAACCCACTCTGCTGTTAGAAACCAGTTCTTCAACCCTCAGTTCCTTCTGATACAGAAGCTGACAGACCGCCTGCACCCCCCCAACCCCCCGTGTGTGATTAATACAGATTATTTATTTATTTATTTATTTATTTATTTATTTATTTATTTATTTATTTATTTATTTATTTATTTATTTATTTATTTATTTATTTATTTATTTATTTTTAACCAAAATTACAGATTTTTCATGCTCATTATACAGGTAAACATCTGAAGGTGTTGACATGTAAAACTAACTTATAGATATATTTTGGGAGTTGTTTACAAAGTGTAATAATTTCTGTAACAGATCAGGACAGTAAATCTGAAAATGCAAATAAAAGATGAGAAGTTCTGTGTTTATTGACCAAAGTTATAAAGATTTAATTATGTAGTATTTGCAACATGACAGTTATTACAGGTATATTGATTAGGATGAACAAAAAATCCTGGTTTTTGGTTGTTTATTACATAATGCACCAGATTATTACACCAACTCATTTTGTAACAATTGCCGCAAAATGCAATAACGCAATTACATAATGTGTTGAAGAATTTTATTACATTTTGTGTCATTTATTACATAATGCAGTTTTAGTGTGAGTTTATTACATTTTGAAGCCTGATTTTATTACATTATTACATAAAACACTGTTATTACAAAATGAGGTCTTACAGGGTTTCCTACTGTTGCTCATTTCAAATTTATTTATGTATTACACTTTAAGTTATTTAAATAGTTTTAAAATTATTCAGTCTTTGGGCACTTTTTTTTGTTATTGTTGTGTTTTTAGGCTTATTTGAATTGGGGGCAATCATACCAGCATGTCAGACTGTTGGTTTCCATCTGGATGAAATATCTTGTTTTTCTGTCACATTTATATATTTCTGTAAATGTATTCAGACTTACTGTTTCAGTTTGCACTGACAGAAGACACATGAGCTGTGAGATTTGATGGATTTCCCCCACAGGGAAGTGAAACTAACAGAACCCACAGCAAAAACTCCACATGAAAACCCCAAACTGCTGGTTTCCATTAAACTAGACTTGTTTCCAGTTTGGGTCGTCCTGTCAGATGACTTCACACTTTGTTTTTTGGTCAGATCCTTTTACTGAACCTTCTGCTTTTATTCCATAAAAATCAGTGACAGGCCCCAAGTTGTTGAACAGAGTAAAGATCGTTTCTTTGCATTTTCAGGAATGGAATAAAAAGTGTAAATTTAAAGACTTTATTCCACATTAAGGCACATTGTGAATAAGATACAGGATGTTCTTCTTCAGAAACATAAACATCCAATAATCACACAAAGACAGGTTGGAGGTCCAACCTAAAAACAACTTCTTAAAATTAACTCTTCACAGATGATTTTACAGAAAACCAACATCACAACACTCACACACAACTGATTTTACTTCTGTACACTATTATTATTTTAATTTGTTTAACTGAAATGCTAAAAAAAAATCTGAGCAGCTAATTGTTTTATTTAATTACCGATCAATAAAACTTGAAACAATATCAGTATTGGACCAAGATTAGCTGAGGAATTGTACTGTTTGTTTGGTTTTTATTTGTTCTCATCATCATATAACTTGTAATTTATTGATGTCACGGCTTAATAAATCAGTTTATTCTTCACAGGAGGGTCTTCTGTTAACTCTTGCAGAAATGCAAGTATGACAGCATGATAACGACATGAAATCAATAAATATTCTGTAAGAAAAGATGTAGATGAAGATGTTGTTTAGCAGAGTTTAGCTGACGCACTTCAGCTTTAATTTGTTTCTAAATACGACATGTTGTTAATATTCCTTCTAAACTGGTTTCCAGTAATAAAACCTGTTGTTGTATCTCAGTCTGAGCTGGAAATGACAATATTCTAGTTTTATTATCTCAAGTGGAGGGCTTATTTAAATGTTGAAGCATAATTTTAACTGACAGACAAAAACCTGCTTAGTTGATACAAATTGTATCCTGTAAATTTTTAAACAATGTTTTGTGTGAACTGATTCAAACAAATGTATTTTGAGCTGAATATTTTCATGTGAGGATAATTTATTCTGTTTGACCAAGTGCAAGAATCTAAAATGTCTCAAGTTTTCTGGAAAATGTTCATTTTGTTCATGAACTGAAACTGCAGTGTTAAAATAAAACCTGTCTTTAATGATGGCATGTGCAGGTGGGACTGCTGGGACTTCTGAAGCCAAAATAAACTGTAACAACTTGTGGAACGAGACGAAACTTTTATTATTTCTGGATCTTAAATCAGTGCAGCACACTTTAAACGTCTTGCAACATCTGAAGAAATTTATAATTGTATTTATTTTATTTCCAGCATTAAATCTTTAGGCTTGTCTGTTCCTGTGGGGCTGGATGTGAAAAAGAACCAAGTCTGATCCCATCAAACCCCACTGTGTGCTGCTGTTAACACCACTGTTAACACCACTGTTAACACCACTGTGTGCTGCTGTTAACACCACTGTTAACACCACTGTTAACACCACTGTGTGCTGCTGTTAACACCATGCTGTTAACACCACTGTGTGCTGCTGTTAACACCACTGTTAACACCACTGTGTGCTGCTGTTAACACCACTGTTAACACCACTGTGTGCTGCTGTTAACACCACTGTTAACACCACTGTGTGCTGCTGTTAACACCACTGTTAACACCACTGTGTGCTGCTGTTAACACCACTGTTAACAC